CGAGTTGGCATTGACTTCACTTTCTATGCCTAAACCCTGAGAAAATTGTTATTGTCCATTTTGGCGAGCTCACTGGAGCTAACTGATCCTGTTTGGTGATCCACCTTCTCGTTAGGTGAGCCTCACGAATATTTTCGAAATGTAATTCAATGTGTGTTTCATTTCAACTAACCTTCACATATTCTATGTTTGAATGTGTGCTTTTCCGAAAATGGCACAAAAAAGGGAAAACATGTAGTTTCGTCTGATATTGAGATTGATAGAGAGTCTCCTCCTCCTCGAAAGAAACAAAAGGGCATCTCTATAAATTATCCTTCAAAGGCCTCTTGTTCCCAAAAGACCAACCATAAAATCCCTACAAGCGGGGGTAAAAAAGTGAGGAAACATATTGACACAAAGCAATTGAATGTGCGCTCTAAGTTGGCATCGCCCCCACAATATCCATAGCCTGCCGTTCGTTAAATAACTCTAAGATATTTAAATAAGCTCAAGAAAGAAAGAGAAGGGACTATTTTGGAGAAGCGTCGACTCTCAACTGATGGAGTCATGAGTGACTACCAGGACATTTGGCATATGATGAAATTTCACAAGTTAGAGTAGTTCAGTAAAGCCAGACAACCTTATGTGCCAAAGTGGGTGGGAGAGTTCTATGACACCTATGTTAAGGAGTTTCCAAAGAAGAGAATGGGCATTGATTAGAAGACTGTAGATGAAGTGGAAATGAGGGGCAAGATGGTTATGTGCCATGTAAATGAGATTAACATAGTATTGTGCACCCCAGATAATCATGTTGATGAGTACAACACCCGGATGACCAGGAATCCAGATGCATTAAAGGGGTGGTTTGCCCCTGTGATATCTTATGAGTCTTCTTCTTATTGGATGGCTGATGGGGTAAAGATAGACAAGAAGGATCTGAACATCGTGGCTCGATATTGGTTCAAGTTTGTTAGCAACAACATAATGTCATTCCAAAAATAATAAATACTCCTGCATCCAAAGGCAATGCTAGTGGTCTCTATCATTGAGAAGGAAAAAACCAATGTAGGTTCCATTACTGTGGAGGATATACTACTATAGGCCAGGTAGGAGCAAACCTCTCTCCTCTTCCTAGTGCTAATTACGTAGTTATGTGAGAGAGCGGGAGTTCCCTTTCAGGGGATGATAGATGTGAGGATCACACCAGCCTCATCCAGTGATGATCGAAGAATTATAATTGAGTACTTGTGGGATGATGTGGATCGAGGGAAGCCACCACCACTAGAATCGATGCTCGTGGTTGATGTCACTACCCTAGCAGCTGAGGCTAGAAAATCTACTCTTCTTGTGGAGTAGGCAGGTATTTCTACATCTTCATATACTTCAGACCCTACTGCCTCTATTTCTATATGTGTTGCTGCTGCTGTGAGGCCTCCTCCCTTGACCCAGACTATGATAGTCACCCGGGTTGAGATGGACATTCCTAAGCACATTGACCAAGCCATTAAGAAAGCCTTAGCGTCATTGCTAGGGAGGTGGTCAAGTGCGAGGGAGTTTTTGAGAGTCACGGTGTGAGGTTGGATGATCTCACAACGATATTAGAGGCCCAAAAAAAGATCGAGGGTAGATCTGGTGCACTAGATACCATGAAGGATGAGCTTGCTACTTTGAGTGCGGAGGTGGTGTAGTTTTAGTCGATGGATATATCGATGCTTTGGGATGAGGTGCCCCTACTAGATGCACTAATGTCGACGCCTAAGATGCTGAGTAATGTTCCTACACCTACTGTGCAACAAGAATATGATGCTAATTTTGATGTTGTTGAGGATGAGAGTGAGAGGGATGAGGAGGAGTTGGTCGAGGAGACTGATGGGGAAGAGTTATGATGAGGAGCATGGGATTTTAGAGATGTTGACTGAGCTACATGAGACTGAGGAGGTTATTCTTCAGGCAACCCTAGAGAGATCTCTTCGAGAGACTTCATATGTTAGTTCTAGTGGAGTCACTCCAGACCCCACCGTACCTCCTACTGCTGAGACGGGCATTGATGCCCTAGTTGAGCTTTCCTTGCCGCCTCCACTGATCCTTTTGCGAGTCATTTATTCCCTTCTTAAGGCTTCCCCACCTGAAACTCCTGATGAGAGTGCTCCATAGGCATAGCTTGTCAAGGGGACACTTTTTCTTAGCCTCCTGGAACTATTGCTTATATTGCATTGAGGACACTACATTATATTTTTGTTGGGGTAAGGGCCTTCTTGACAATATTCCCTTTTTGATGGTATTTTGTTATTTTAAGTTTTGAATATTTGTAGTATTACTTTTGCTTATATTAGAGTGCTCTTTTGGGTTAAACTATATCTCTTTATTTCTATTTCTGTAACACCTCCGAATCTAGTAGGCAAAGCTAGGGGTTAAGTACCAAGTCAAGGGCTTGAGAAATTCACCTTGGCAACCTCTACGAAGGTCCACACGGATTGTGAAGTGCACCACAGTTTATGGAGGTGCCCATGGACCTAGGTAGCGAGTTACCAAAGGAAGATCACCTCTAACGAGAGCCAAGACGGATCGTAGTGGCCACCACAGATCGTTGTGGCACTTGTGGAGGTGAGGCAGTAAACCTCCAAGTCTACCCAAAAATAGGACCCTCCCCACGAGCCACTACACGACTCGTGAAGGACTTAACGGGTCATGGTGAAGACTTAGTTTTAAGGGGTTATGGGGGGTGCTTGCCAAGCCACTGTTCTTGACCACGGAAGGCACCACGGCTCGTGGTGGGTACCATGGCTCGTGGAGCCTTACGTGAATATGGGGCAATCCCCTATAAGTTTGGGGCTTAAGGGTCTTTTTTGGTTTTAATTAGATCAAACCCAAGTCGTTTTACCCAAGCCTAGGACCCCTATATAAGTGATTTTACCCCAAAACTCACCAATTCAAGTCATTATTTCCAAAACCCTAAAAAAATCCCAAAGTTCTTCTCTCAAATATTTCTCTCTCTTGAACTTGAAGAAGAATAAAGATTTGGAGCTAGGATCAAGGTCAAGTCTCCATTCCTTAAGAATTTGTGGGCTTTGTGATTAAGGTATGATGGCTTTCATCCATGGAGTCCCTAGGATTCCCTAATTCAAAAGATGAAATTCCTCAGTTTGATTTAGGGTTTTCTTCTAATGTTGTGGGTATTGATGAATGTTGATCAAATTTATTAGGTTATGATTGTGTATGTATGAATCAATAGGATTATATGTTTTGAGGATGAATTTACATATACCCATGCCAAACCCATGTCTAGAAAGATGAAATTGATGTAAATGAGTTTTATTCCATGAAAGGAGAATTTGTGGGATTATATGTTTTATTATAGGATTGATGAGATACATTAACAATGCTTTGAGATAAAAGCATATGATATGATTATGATATCGATTGCTTTGAGCGTAAAGCTTAAGCATGAATTGATGACTTTAGATAGGATTGTTGTGGAAGGAATTTACCCACATGATTCCTTATGTATGTATGAATGTGAAAATCTTGCTCACATTGATTGATTCTAGGTTGAAAGGATTTCTCACTTAAAATGAATCTAAGTTAAAAGACTATGAAATTGATGAGGCTTGACATGATTTCCCATGACCTCTATATGAGAAGGATATGAGACGGTTACCCATATTCCTAGGTTAGAAAACATGAGGTGACTTCCTGTGTCATGTGATGATAAGTGTGAGGCGACTAGCCTTACTCTATGATGTTGAACAAGAGGCAACTCCCCACATTCCTATTATGGATGATTGAACTAAAGGAGACTATCCTCGTTCCCATAATGATGATTAGGAATGTAGGGGAATGCCCATGACCCTTATAGATATATGTGGAGGTGAATACCCGTTTCTTATGATGTTGGACATAGAGGGGAATACCCATGATCCTAAAGTTTGTAAGGCAAGAGTTGAATACCCACTAGCCTTTATAAGAGGCAAAGAGGAGAATCCCCATGCCTTTAATAGTAAGAATGAATAAGTATGAATTAGTTTATGACGAATGAATAGCTTGGATTGTTTCTTGAGTTGCCTTCCATGATGTAAGTATGACTAGAGGCGGATGACCCAAGTATTAACTAAGGATAAGCTGAGGTTACATGAGGAAGTATTCCTCCTTGTTATGATGATTTATTATATGCATTGATTATGCTTATGATTTATGTTGTCTAATGCTTATGTTTATGATATTTATGCTAGGTATCATATTTAGTACATGTTTGTACCAATGCATACTTTTGCCTACATTTCTTATCCAAATGTAGAGTACGACGATATCAACTACCATCCCCGTGGCTAAAATCATAGTAGAGTAAGATTTGAAGATTGGTGAGTCCTCATAGCATTCAAGGATTTGACCACCATTTCCTTATGTCTTTTATTTTATATTTTGAACTATTGTATGGGCTGTGTCCCAAAGATACTCATGTTTTAGATCGTTTTAGACAAAGTGTATTAGACTTCCGCTTCGTTTTATAAAAACTTTGATTGTGTTGAAAATGTTTTAAATTTTTGCCTCATTTCTATTTTCTTATGTTATGAAAGCTAAGTGGCTTGTATGAGGCCTCTTGGGGTCTTATACGCCATGTTACATATTGGAGGTACCCCTTGGTCGTGACAAACTTGGTATCAGAGCATAAGGTTTAGAATGGTTCTAGTATGTCTCAAAACCACACGAAGTAGAGTTTTTTTCATAAGTGTGAAGCGCACCACATTTATTAATGAGAGGCTACTAGATGCTTAGGAAACTTCACTTCTTTCTTCACTCTAAGTCGTACGATAGAGTTTAACTCTATAAGGTCTTTCCCTTAATCCTTACCCGATGGTCTGCAGAATATGACTAGTAGAAGGGCTCAAGCTACAAGGAATGAGGAAGATAATGTGGACCAAGGAGCTCCTCCTCAAGATCCTCAAGCTCTGATCGACCTTTTATTGGAGAATGTCACAAATGCGTAGTTTAGGTCAGTTTTTCAATTGTTGGCTCAAGCCGTGATGGCCCAAGCCAATAGAGAGGTTATAGTCCCCGTGAACTCAAATGTGGGTACGACGACTTCTAGAGTAAGGGACTTCACAAGGATGAATCCTCCAGAATTTTATGGTTCAAAGATTGAAGAAGATCCTCAAAAGTTTATTGATGAGGTATACAAGGAGTTAGCCATCATGGGATTGACTCCAGTGGAAAAGGCGGAATCGGTCGCTTATCAACTTAAGGGGTTTGGTCAAATTTAGTTCAACCAATGGAAAGAAGCAAGACTGGTAGAAGTGGGTCCCATAGAATGGGAAAGGTTTAAATATGCTTTTCTTGATAGGCTCTTCCCTCTTGAGATGAGAGAGGCTAAGATGCTTTAGTTTATTAATCTCCGGCAAGGTAATATAAGTGTTAAGGATTATTCTTTGAGGTTCACTCAATTGTCGAAGTATGCTTCTTATATAGTGGCTGACTCTAGGGCAAAAATGAGCAAGTTCGTTTCAGATGTGTCCGACTTGGTTGTGAAAGAATGTCATACAACTATGCTAGTCCATGACATGGACATTTCTTGTCTTATGGTTTATGCCCAACAAATTGAAGAGGAGAAACTTAAAGAGAGGTATAGAAAGGCTTAAGAGGTTAAGAATGCATGATGGTAACTCTTCCCACCCTAAGTTCGGTGGACGTGGTCGTTCAAGGTTTCAACAAAGGTTTTCCAGGAAAGGTTTTTCTAAGGCTCCCCCAAGGTTCAACAATGAAAGGGTGTCTAACCCTAAGCCTCAAGGAGGTGGTATTGGGTCGTCATTTCCGGATTATGCTAAGTGTGGAAGAAAGCACGAGGGCAAGTGTCTAGCGGGTTCCAATGCTTGCTTTGGTTGTGGTAAGATGGATCACAAGATAAGACATTGTCCTTCGGTTCCAAGAAATGAAGGAGATAGTTGGCATAGGGCTCAACCCTATCCTTCATCTGGTCCAAGTGGTTTGGATGTGAATACTCCTAAGCAGAAATGATTCTATGCACTTGATACTTGAGGTGAACAAGAGGGTTCTCCCAATGTGGTTACCGGTAGGTTGAAAGTTTTTCTACTTGATGTTTATGCATTACTTGATCCCGATGCTACCTTGTCTTTTGTGATGCCATATGTGGCTATGAGGTTTGATTTTCTTTCGTTTGTGTTGTTAGAACCTTTTTATGTCTCTACTCCTATTGGTGATTCTATGGTGGCTAAGAAGGTCTATAGAAGATGTCCTGTTTCCTTATCCCATAGAGTTACTCTTGCTGATTTGGTAGAGCTTGATATGTTAGGCTTTGATGTTATCCTTGGTATGGGTTGGCTGCACTCTTGTTATGCTTTTATTGACTGTAAAATCCGTGTAGTCAAGTTTCAGTTCCCAAATGAGCCTGTCCTGAAATGGAAATAAGGAAATTCTATGCCTAGAGGTCAGTTTGTTTCTTATATGAAACCTAGAAAGATGATTTCTAAGGGTTGTATTTACTATCTATATAGGGTGAGGGATATTGATTTTGAAACCCCTACTTTTGAGTCAGTCCCCGTTGTGAATGAGTTTGCGGAAGTATTCCTAGATGATCTACCCGGTATTCCTCCTAAAAGGGAAATAGACTTAATAATTGACCTTTTCCCAGATATGCAACCTCTATTCCTCCTTATAGAATGACTCCAGCAGAACTTAAGGAGTTGAAAGAACAATTCAAAGATTTGTTGGATAAGGGTTTCATCTGACCGATTATCTCTCCATGGAGTGCTCCAGTTCTATTTGTTAAGAATAAAGATGGTTCAGTCTGTATGTTTATCGATTATCAGCAATTGAACTAGGTGACCATTAAGAATAAATATCCTCTTCCAAGGACAGATGATTTATTTTACCAACTATAAGGTTCAAGTTACTTCTCTAAGATCGACCATAGATCGGGTTATCACCAATTGAGGGTAAAGAATGATGATATTCCGTAAACAACTTTTAGAACCCAATATGGTCACTAAGAGTTTTTGGTTATGTCCTTTGGTTTGACTAATGCCCTGACGACATTTATGGATTTGATGAATATGGTCTTTAAATAATACCTTGATAAGTTCGTAATTGTGTTCATTGAAGATATTTTAATCTATTCAAGAAGTGAGGATAATCACATCAATCATTTGAGGTGGTGTTGCAAATCCTTAAGGAACAACAACTCTTTGCAGAGTTCAACAAATGTGAGTTTTGGCTAAGGTATGTGGCTTTTAAAGGTCACATTATTTATAGTAAGGGTATTGAGGTAGATCCCATTAAGACGGATTTGGTCAAGAGTTGGCCTAGACCTTTATCACTAGCAGACATTAGGAGTTTCTTGGGTTTGGCTGGTTATTATAGAAGGTTTGTTGAGGGTTTTTCTACAATTGTCTCTCCATTGATGGCTTTGACTCAAAATAAAGCCAAGTTCATATGGTCAGAAGCTTGTGAAAAGAGTTTCCAAGAGTTGAAAGATATGCTTACTTCCACTACGGTGTTGACTTTACAGGATGGTACATATGGCTTTGTTGTTTATTGTGATGCCTCTAGAATTGGGTTGGGATGTGTGCTTATGCAAAATGGTAAAACTATTGCCTATGTTTCAAGGAAACTAAAGATCCATGAGAAGAATTATCCTACCCGTGACCTTGAATTAGTGGCTGTTGCATTTGCCTTATAGATTTGGAGGCATTATTTGTATGGAGTTCATGTTGATGTTTTCACCGGCCATAAGAGTTTGCAATATGTGTTCAATCAAAAGGAATTGAACCTTTGATGTTTCCATAATCAAGATACAACATATGATGCAAGTGTCTACGATCGTACAATAGTTTAATAACCCAATCAAGGGTTGGGGTCGAGTCCTAAGGAAATGGGCATGTGAATTAGTGGTTAAGTGCGAAAATTGCTAAGGCTAATCGTAGCTAAAGACTTTGGCGAATGAAAACATAACAAATTAAAAAGGGTGACGCAAGTGTCAAGTATCAAATGGGGGTTTGTAAGCAAGAAACAACTAAAACAGTGAAAATAAAGAAAAATACAGGTATGGAGAAGGGATTCTTGGGATGTGATAGGAATACGGGATAGACTAAATCAATGGGTACATATTTTTGATAGTAAATTCATTGAGTATTTGTGACTAGGCTAGACTTTAAGGGGGAAAAGCTCTCTCTCGAGCAACTTACCCCGTTTCAAATGCGTTCCTCTCGGAGACCCACTTGCCGCATGAAGAACAACGTTTGTCTTAACCCACTCATTCTCTCGAGCTAAGTGTGTGGACATGAGACTAGGGTTCACTCTCACGAGCTGAACCACATGTCGACCCACTCACATTGGCCATCAATCTAGTGGTCTAAGTTTTACGACCTCTCTCGAGCAAGCCGAAAACACATAAATAAACCTGTATTTTCAACTACAACTCATTAAATTCATCCACAACCACTAAATGAAATCACCTTTAAACTACAAATAGACTATCAGCAAGAAAGACCCAAAAACTAATCTAACCCATATTGACAAAATCACACACCAAGAATTGGGGTTTTAGCTACGCATGTAAAAGAGATAAAGATGTATACCAATATCAGTTTCCATCAATGGGTATGCAACATTAAGTCTTAAAACAAGCCAAAAGTGAAGAATCCAAGAGACCCAAGTCCAATTTCTTGAAGATGAAACCCTTGAAAGCTCCAAGTTCTTCAAAACCCTCTCCAAAGCACAGAGAGAATATCTCCAAAACTCTTTCTCAAACTTAATAATCTAAAGAATCTAGATAAAATAAGGTAAAATTTGTTACTAAGAATAAAAACTGAACTAGTATTTATAGTTTTCAAAAAATGTGCTCCAATTAATCTTTCAGCGACGTTAGTGGGAATCGCCGATGCATTCGGCGATCCGCCCTTTGGCCTACTCTTGTGCCCTTCATCAGTTGCCTACAACATATTTGTGTCCTGGATAATTAGGCGATGTAGACTGCTTTGCGAAGACGCTTGGTGATACGCCGACTGCTCATTTTCACGGCCAATTTGCTCTATTTCTACAGGGATTGACACACTACAACAAAAGGCGAATAGGCGATTCGCCAAATGGGTTCGGCGATTCGCAAATCTTCATTTCTTCGTTCTTTTAGCTTCTTTTGCTCCTTTTTTTACTCGATAGTGTCCATGCTTTCCCTTAAACTTCAAATACCTAAAACTTAAAGGTTTTTATCAGATATCGAGGTAAAACATGCATTTGAGGACACTAATTTCTTCAAATTGTGGACTCATCAACACCCCCAACTTAAACTTTTGCTTGTCCCCAAGCAAACTCAAGTTCAGTCGTTCAAAAGAGGGTGTCTTGAACAGTGCTACACAATACTCAACCGTTAATGCACACAACAAGACTCAATTTGCTTATGCAAAGATCAAGTGTGCACTCAAAGATTCAAGTAGTGACTCAACAATATCAAAGAATCTCATGCTCACAATACTTGCCTGAAATGCAAGTTCAAGCTCAACTAAATTGTTCAACTGCCCTCACAGAAAGAATGATTCCATATTCGCACATAATGGTTTACTCATTTAAAGTTTCAGAATCAACTTGAACTCTCACTCTCACAAAGACGAAAACAATGCATTCTTTCACCCATAGAGTCGCCCGTATTTTCCAATCAACATTTGTTTCAGCTTACTCAAGATCAAAATGGTCTTTTTAAGGCTTGTTATGGGGCTGAGTGCAAAGATATGGTCATTTAGGCTTAGTGGCTTTCATCCTCATGAGATGTGGCATTCACAACACTCCCCTTCCTTTTCTTTCATCATTTTTACCAGTGCTCTTAACTCATCCCATTATTCACTTCCCATGGATTGTTTGGAATCCCCATTTCTTTGGTACTTTATTCCACAATTTTCTTTTTCATTTTTTTTAAATTCTTTATGGAGGGGTTCCCTTTTTCTCAACATCACAGATTAAGGGAGACTTTTCTTGCACTTCTTGACTTTCCTTTTTCTTTTCACCACACCCCCAACTTAGGCTTTTGGCCTAAGTTGTCTATTCAATTAACCACAACTCAAGAGGATTATAGGTAGTGGATAAAGAAAAGTTTAGTGTTCATCAACTTTCTTCCAATGAAAGGTCAGGCTCAAGGGATGCTCAACAGAGGTTCACACATACTCACAAGGTAGGGATCGGACCAATATGGCTAATTCTAGGATTTATCATGCATGTTTCAAAGTAAGCTCATCACACTAGGCATCAACACTATAGTCAAACAAGACTTCACACTATAGCTAGTGTGCAACGGTTATTACAAGAGACTCGATTCAATACTAAGCTAGTCAAAACGAGATGCAAAGAGTTCACATATTGTCTATGCAACTTCATTTGTCCTCATCGTAGCCGCGCATTCATGTTCGTTCTATTGAGAGCACTATTCAAGTCATCAGTATTGATTGGAACCGAGACTTAAATTTTGCAAAAGAACAGCCACATTCATCACACAAGAGGTTGCAAAAATTTTCGGACGGGTTAAAATTAGTTTGCAATATAAAATAAAAGGAGCCATAAGCTCAATCATCCACAGAAACAGATAAAACACAATTTTAAATAGAACAACCCAAATATATACACAGAACACAACTATCAACACAAAAGGTGTGGGCCTCACCCCACCTCAATTAAAAAGTATTTGACCTCAAATGCAACTAAAAGTATCCAAAAGTAAAAATATAATAAGACAGAGAGGGAGGTAAAGAAAGGTCATGTCTATGTAGTGTCTCTCTATGTCGGGGTCACGGTGGCTAGTGTAGCAGTCTGTATATGATCATCAGTTCCTGTAGTAGACTCGGATCATCGATTCGCAGATCTTCATTTCTTCTTTCTTTTAGCTTCTTTTGGTCTTTTTTTTGCTCGACAATGTTCATGCTTTCCCTCAAATTTCAAATACCTGAAACTTAATGGTTTTTATTATATATCGAGGTAAAAGATGCATTTGAGGCACTAATTTCATCAAAACATAA